CAGCGACTCACTCAACCAGCGACTCGCTCAACCAGCGACTCACTCAACCAGCGACTCACTCGACCCACAACTCACTCAACCAGCGACTCGCTTAACCAGCGACTCACTCAACCAGCGACTCACTCAACCAGCGACTCACTCAACCAGCGACTCACTCAACCCGCGACTCACTCGACCCACAACTCACTCGACCCACAACTCACTCAACCAGCGACTCACTCAACCAGCGACTCGCTTAACCAGCGACTCACTCAACCAGCGACTCGCTCAACCAGCGACTCACTCGACCAGCGACTCACTCAACCAGCGACTCACTCAACCAGCGACTCACTCGACCAGCGACTCGCTCGACCCGCGACTCGCTCGACCAGCGACTCACTCGACCCACGACTCGCTCGACCCGCGACTCACTCAACCAGCGACTCACTCAACCAGCGACTCACTCAACCAGCGACTCGCTCGACCCACGACTCACTCAACCAGCGACTCACTCGACCAGCGACTCACTCGCCCAGCGACTCACTCAACCAGCGACTCACTCGACCCACGACTCACTCAACCAGCGACTCACTCGACCAGCGACTCACTCGACCAGCGACTCACTCGACCAGCGACTCACTCAACAGGCGACTCACTCATCCCACAACTCACTCAACCAGCGACTCACACAACCAGCGACTCACTCAACCAGCGACTCACTCAACCAGCGACTCACTCAACCAACGACTCACTCAACCAGCGACTCACTCAACCAGCGACTCACTCAACCAGCGACTCACTCAACCAGCGACTCACTCAACCAGCGACTCACTCGACCCACAACTCACTGAACCAGCGACTCGCTTAACCAGCGACTCACTCAACCCGCGACTCACTCGACCCGCGACTCACTCGACCCACGACTCACTCAACCAGCGACTCACTCGACCCACGACTCACTCAACCAGCGACTCACTCAACCAGCGACTCACTCGACCAGCGACTCGCTTAACCAGCGACTCACTCGACCCACAACTCACTCAACCAGCGACTCACTCGACCAGCGACTCACTCGACCAGCGACTCACTCAACCAGCGACTCACTCAACCAGTGACTCACTCAACCAGCGACTCACTCAACCAGCGACTCACTCAACCAGTGACTCACTCAACCAGCGACTCACTCGACCCGCGACTCACTCGACCCGCGACTCGCTCAACCAGCGACTCACTCGCCCAGCGACTCACTCAACCAGCGACTCACTCAACCAGCGACTCACTCGACCCACAACTCACTCAACCAGCGACTCACTCGACCAGCGACTCACTCAACCAGCGACTCACTCGACCAGCGACTCACTCAACCAGCGACTCACTCAACCAGCGACTCACTCGACCAGCGACTCACTCGACCAGCGACTCACTCGACCAGCGACTCACTCGACCAGCGACTCACTCAACCAGCGACTCACTCAACCAGCGACTCACTCAACCAGCGACTCACTCAACCAGCGACTCACTCAACCAGCGACTCACTCGACCCACAACTCACTCGACCCACAACTCACTCGACCCACAACTCACTCAACCAGCGACTCACTCAACCAGCGACTCACTCGACCCACAACTCACTCAACCAGCGACTCGCTTAACCAGCGACTCACTCGACCCACGACTCACTCAACCAGCGACTCACTCGACCCACGACTCACTCGACCCACGACTCACTCAACCAGCGACTCACTCAACCAGCGACTCACTCAACCAGCGACTCACTCAACCAGCGACTCACTCGACCAGCGACTCACTCGACCAGCGACTCGCTCGACCCACGACTCACTCAACCAGCGACTCACTCAACCAGCGACTCACTCAACCAGCGACTCACTCAACCAGCGACTCACTCAACCAACGACTCACTCAACCAGCGACTCACTCGACCAGCGACTCACTCGACCAGCGACTCACTCGACCAGCGACTCACTCGACCAGCGACTCACTCGACCAGCGACTCACTCGACCAGCGACTCGCTCGACCCGCGACTCACTCAACCAGCGACTCGCTCGATCCACGACTCGCTCGACCCGCGACTCACTCAACCAGCGACTCACTCAACCAGCGACTCACTCAACCAGCGACTCACTCATCCCACAACTCACTCAACCAGCGACTCACACAACCAGCGACTCGCTCGACCCACGACTCACTCAACCAGCGACTCACTCAACCAGCGACTCACTCGACCAGCGACTCACTCGACCAGCGACTCACTCGACCAGCGACTCACTCGACCAGCGACTCACTCGACCAGCGACTCACTCGACCAGCGACTCACTCAACCAGCGACTCACTCGACCCGCGACTCACTCGACCCGCGACTCGCTCAACCAGCGACTCACTCGCCCAGCGACTCACTCAACCAGCGACTCACTCAACCAGCGACTCACTCGACCCACAACTCACTCAACCAGCGACTCACTCGACCAGCGACTCACTCGACCCACAACTCACTGAACCAGCGACTCGCTTAACCAGCGACTCACTGAACCAGCGACTCGCTTAACCAGCGACTCACTCAACCCGCGACTCACTCGACCCGCGACTCACTCGACCCACGACTCACTCAACCAGCGACTCACTCGACCCACGACTCACTCAACCAGCGACTCACTCAACCAGCGACTCACTCAACCAGCGACTCACTCAACCAGCGACTCACTCAACCAGCGACTCACTCAACCAGCGACTCAGTCGTCCCACGACTCACTCAACCAGCGACTCACTCGACCAGCGACTCACTCGACCAGCGACTCACTTAACCAGCGACTCACTCAACCAGCGACTCACTCAACCAGCGACTCACTCAACCAGCGACTCACTCAACCAGCGACTCACTCAACCAGCGACTCGCTCAACCAGCGACTCACTCAACCAGCGACTCACTCGACCCACAACTCACTCGACCCACAACTCACTCGACCCACAACTCACTCAACCAGCGACTCGCTTAACCAGCGACTCACTCAACCAGCGACTCACTCGACCCACAACTCACTCGACCCACAACTCGCTCAACCAGCGACTCGCTCGACCAGCGACTCACTCGACCAGCGACTCACTCGACCAGCGACTCACTCGACCAGCGACTCACTCGACCAGCGACTCACTCGACCCGCGACTCACTCGACCAGCGACTCGCTCGACTAGCGACTCGCTCAACCAGCGACTCACTCAACCAGCGACTCGCTCAACCAGCGACTCGCTCAACCAGCGACTCACTCAACCAGCGACTCACTCGACCCACAACTCACTCGACCCACAACTCACTCAACCAGCGACTCGCTTGACCAGCGACTCACTCGACCAGCGACTCACTCGACCAGCGACTCACTCGACCAGCGACTCACTCAACCAGCGACTCACTCGACCAGCGACTCACTCAACCAGCGACTCACTCGACCAGCGACTCACTCAACCAGCGACTCGCTCGACCCGCGACTCACTCGACCAGCGACTCACTCGACCAGCGACTCACTCGACCAGCGACTCACTCAACCAGCGACTCACTCAACCAGCGACTCACTCAACCAGCGACTCACTCAACCAGCGACTCACTCAACCAGCGACTCGCTCGATCCACGACTCGCTCGACCCGCGACTCACTCAACCAGCGACTCACTCAACCAACGACTCACTCAACCAGCGACTCGCTCGACCAGCGACTCACTCGACCAGCGACTCACTCGACCAGCGACTCACTCGACCAGCGACTCACTCGACCAGCGACTCACTCAACCAGCGACTCACTCAACCAGCGACTCACTCGACCAGCGACTCACTCGCCCAGCGACTCACTCGACCCACGACTCACTCGACCAGCGACTCGCTCGACCCACGACTCACTCAACCAGCGACTCACTCGACCAGCGACTCACTCGACCAGCGACTCACTCGACCAGCGACTCACTCGACCAGCGACTCACTCAACCAGCGACTCACTCAACCAGCGACTCACTCAACCAGCGACTCACTCGACCAGCGACTCACTCGACCCACGACTCACTCGACCAGCGACTCGCTCGACCCACGACTCACTCGACCAGCGACTCACTCAACCAGCGACTCACTCAACCAGCGACTCGCTTAACCAGCGACTCACTCGACCAGCGACTCACTCGACCAGCGACTCACTCGACCCACGACTCACTCGACCAGCGACTCACTCGACCAGCGACTCACTCGACCAGCGACTCACTCGACCAGCGACTCACTCGACCAGCGACTCACTCGACCAGCGACTCACTCAACCAGCGACTCACTCGCCCAGCGACTCACTCAACCAGCGACTCACTCGACCAGCGACTCACTCGACCCACAACTCACTCGACCCACAACTCACTCAACCAGCGACTCACTCGACCCGCGACTCACTCGACCAGCGACTCGCTCGACCAGCGACTCGCTCGACCAGCGACTCGCTCGACCAGCGACTCACTCGACCAGCGACTCACTCGACCAGCGACTCACTCGACCCGCGACTCACTCAACCAGCGACTCACTCGACCCACAACTCACTCAACCAGCGACTCGCTCGACCAGCGACTCGCTCGACCAGCGACTCGCTCGACCAGCGACTCACTCGACCCGCGACTCACTCGACCAGCGACTCACTCGACCAGCGACTCACTCGACCAGCGACTCGCTCGACCCGCGACTCGACTTCACTCCTCTACCCCCACTGCTCCACCCCACTGCTCCACCCCACTGCTCCACCCCACTGCTCACAATGAACGACTCACAATGAACGACTCACAGTGAACGACTCACAATGAACGACTCGCAATGAACGACTCGCGATGAACGACTCGCTAGGAACGACTCACAATCAACGACTCACAGTGAACGAATCACAATGAACGACTCGCGAGGAACGACTCACAATGAACGACTCGCGAGGAACGACTCGCAATGAACGACTCACAGTGAACGACTCACAATGAACGACTCGACGCTCCCTTACCCAGAAGATGAAGTTGAAGGCGAACAGCAGATACTTGACGCATTTCAGGCAACCCTGCACACCCATGGCTGATGACGAGGTGGTGGACGAGGTGGTGGACGAGGTGGTGGACGAGCTGATGGGCGAGCTGGTGGGCGAGGTGGTGGACGAGGTAGTGGACGAGCTGGTGGACGAGGTGGCGGACGAGGTGATGGACGAGCTGGTGGGCGAGGTGGTGGACGAGGTGGTGGACGAGGTGGTGGACGAGGTGGTGGACGAGGTGGGAGTGGGCGGACGATTGTTTGTTGGCGAAGATTTCCCGAGCGAGTCGAGTCGACTATGAGCGGCGACAGCGGCTGGAGGGAGTGAATCAGAGAGAGGGAGATGGGCGGGGAGTTGAAGAGAGAGAGGGGGGGTGAATGTGTGTGTGTGAGTGTGTGTCCGTGTGTGTGTGTGTCTGTGTGTGAGTGTTTGTGTGTGTGTGAGTGTGTGTCTGTGAGTGTGTGTCTGTGAGTGTGTGAGTGTGTGTGTCTGTGTGTGTGTCTGTGTGTGTGTGAGTGTGTGTCTGTGTGTGTGTCTGTGTGTGTGTGTGAGTGTGTGTTTGAGTGTGTGTGTGTGTGTCTGTGTGTCTGTGTGTGAGTGTTTGTGTGTGTCTGTGAGTGTGTGTCTGTGAGTGTGTGTCTGTGTGTGAGTGTTTGTGTGTGTTTGAGTGTGTGTCTGTGTGTGTGTGTGAGTTTGTGTCTGTGTGTCTGTGAGTGTGTGTGTGTCTGTGTGTGTGAGTGAGTGTGTGAGTGAGTGAATGTGAGTTTGTGTGTCTGTGTGTGTGTCTGTGTGTGAGAGTGTGTGTCTGTGTGTGTGTCTGTGTGTGTCTGTGTGAGTGTGTCTGTGTGTGAGTGTGTGTGAGTGTGTGTCTGTGTGTGTGTCTGTGTGTGTGAGTGAGTGAATGTGTGTGAATGTGTGTGTATCTGTGTCTGTGTGTGTCTGTGTGTGAGTGTGTGTGTGAGTGTCTGTGAGTGAGTGTGTGTGAGTGTGTCTGTGAGTGTGTGTCTGTGTGTGTGTCTGTGTGTGTGAGTGAGTGAATGTGTGTGAATGTGTGTGTGTCTGTGTGTGTCTGTGTGTGAGTGTGTGTGAGTGTGTCTGTGTGTGAGTGTGTGTGTGTCTGTGTGTGAGTGGAGTGTCTGTGTGTGAGTGTGTGTGTGTCTGTGTGTGTGTGTCTGTATGTGAGCTGGGTGGGGAGCGGTAGTGTAGCGGTTAGCGCTACGCTGCGCTATGAACCAGTGACGATTATCTGAACCGGTCCTGGGCCTCCCCTAGGTCGACTCAGCCTCAAATGAGTGCCTGGTGCGGTGGATAAAAACATCGCCACTAGGGAGACAAAGGCGGTCGGGCGTGGTGCTGACCACCCACCCCCTCGTGTACCGTTCCGGCCTTCATAGGTGCTCGCTAACAGCACTTGCCCCTACAGTCTGTTAAGGGTATACGGGGGATCTTTGTCTGTGTCTGAGCTGGGTCATGTAGCCCGCATGCCCAGCCACCGCATGCCGAGACAGCTTTTGTTCGGCCGGATCGAGGGGGCTAAATGGGCGCGGCACGGGCTAGAGAAGAGATGGAGTGATGTGGTACAGGAGGCACGGGGCTAGAGAAGAGATGGAGTGATGTTGTACAGGAGGCACGGGGCTAGAGAAGAGATGGAGTGATGTGGTACAGGAGGCACCGGGCTAGAGAAGAGATGGAGTGATGTGGTACAGGAGGCACCGGGCTAGTGAAGAGATAGAGTGATGTGGTACAGGAGGCACGGGGCTAGAGAAGAGATGGAGTGATGCGGTACAGGAGGCACGGGGCTAGAGAAGAGATGGAGTGATGTGGTACAGGAGGCACGGGGCTAGAGAAGAGATGGAGTGATGTGGTACAGGAGGACGTGGAGCTGAGTGGACTTGCCGATGACTGGTACCAGCGGTGTCAAGATCGGCCTCTGTGGAGGAGGCTCGTGAAGGACGCTGCTACTGGGCAGTTGGAGGCAGTCGCCCTCCAAAAACAACGGAGGGCGGAGGAGCGACGCTCACAACAACGAGCGGAGCGCTGGGTGGCTAAAGCACAGCAGGTTGGCACAGTAGGGGACACAGGTGGTGCATCAGCCAGTCATCTCAGTCAGTCGACCCGTGGCACCTGCTGGGTCTGCCCCGTGACCTCCTGCCAGCGGGCGTTCGACACTTCACGTGGCCTCAAGGTGCACATAGCCTGGCACAAGCGCCGTGGTGACGTCACCGCCACTTAGTGGCGAATGGCGGTTGTTGTTGTGTGAGTGTGTGTAGTGTGTGTGTAGTGTGTGTGTGGTGTGTGTGTGTGTGGTGTGTGTGAGTGTTTGTGTCTGTGTGTGTGTGAGTGAATGAATGTGTGTATGTGTGTCATTGTGTGTGTCTGTGTTAGTGTGTGAGTGTCTGTGTGAGTGTGTCTGTGTGTGAGTGTCAGTGTGTGAGTGTGTGTGTCTGTGTGTGTGTCAGTGTGTGAGTGTGTATGTGTGTGTGAGTGAGTGAATGTGTGTAAGTGTGTGAGTGTGTGTGTGAGTGAATGTGTGTATGTGAGTGTGTGTATGTGAGTGTGTCAGTGTGTGAGTGTGTGTGTCAGTGTGAGTGTGTATGTGAGTGCGTGTGTATGTGTGTGTGTCTGTGTGTGTGAGTGAGTGAATGTGTGTGTGAGTGAGTGAATGTGTGTATGTGTGTGTGTCTGTGTGTGTGTATGTGTGTGAGTGAGTGAATGTGTGTATGTGAGTGTGTGTGTCAGTATGTGAGTGAGTGTGTGAGTGAGTGAATGTGTGTATGTGAGTGTGTGTGTCTGTGTGTGTATGTGTGTGTGAGTGAATGTGTGTATGTGAGTGTGTGTGTCTGTGTGTGTGTATGTGTGTGTGTGAGTGAGTGAATGTGTGTATATGAGTGTGTGTATGTGTGTGTGTCAGTGCGTGAGTGAATGTGTGTGTATGAGTGTGTGTATGTGTGTGTGTGTCAGTGTGTGAATGTCTTTGTCTAACTCTGGAGCTACTGCCCCCTTCAGCTGCCCGGACTCTCAATGCAGGGCGTGGCACACTCCAGCACACAACCACCATCACACAACCACCATCACACAACCACCATCACACAACCACCATCACACAACCACCATCACACAACCACCATCACACAACCACCATCACACAACCACCATCACACAACCACCAGCACACAACCACCATCACACAACCACCATCACACAACCACCATCACACAACCACCATCACACAACCACCATCACACAACCACCATCACACAACCACCATCACACAACTCTATCACACAACCACCATCACACAACCACCATCACACAACCACCATCACACAACCACCATCACACAACCACCATCACACAACCACCATCACACAACCACCATCACACAACCACCATCACACAACCACCATCACACTCCATCACACAACCACCATCACACAACCACCATCACACACACTCCATCACACAACCACCATCACTCAACCACCATCACACACACTCCATCACACAACCACCATCACACAACTCTATCACACAACCACCATCACACAACCACCATCATACAACCACCATCACACAACCCCATCACACAACCACCATCACACACACTCCATCACACACACTCCATCACACAACCACCATCACACAACCACCATCACACAACCACCATCACACAACTCCATCACACAACTCCATCACACAACTCTATCACACAACCACCATCACACACACCTCATCACACACACTCCATCACACAACCACCATCACACAACTCTATCACACTCCATCACACAACCCCATCACACAACCACCATCACACTCCATCACACAACCCCATCACACAACCACCATCACACAACCACCATCACACAACCACCATCACACAACCACCATCACACAACTCCATCACACAACTCTATCACACAACCACCATCACACACACCTCATCACACAACCACCATCACACTCCATTACACAACCACCATCACACACACTCCATCACACAACCACTATCACACAACTCTATCACACTCCATCACACAACCCCATCACACAACCACCATCACACTCCATCACACAACCCCATCACACAACCACCATCATACAACCACCATCACACAACCACCATCACACAACCATCATCACACTCCATCACACAACCACCATCACACAACCACCATCACACACACTCCATAACACAACCACCATCACACAACCACCATCACACACACCCCATCACACAACCACCATCACACTCCATCACACACACTCCATCACACACACTCCATCACACAACCACCATCACACAACCACCATCACACAACCACCATCACACAACTCCATCACACAACTCTATCACACAACCACCATCACACACACCTCATCACACACACTCCATCACACAACCACCATTACACAACTCTATCACACTCCATCACACAACCCCATCACACAACCACCATCACACTCCATCACACAACCCCATCACACAACCACCATCATACAACCACCATCACACAACCACCATCACACAACCACCATCACACTCCATCACACAACCACCATCACACAACCACCATCACACACACTCCATCACACAACCACCATCACACAACCACCATCACACACACTCCATCACACAACCACCATCACACAACTCTATCACACAACTCCATCACACAACCACCATCACACAACCACCATCATACAACCACCATCACACAACCCCATCACACAACCACCATCACACACACTCCATCACACACACTCCATCACACAACCACCATCACACAACCACCATCACACAACCACCATCACACAACTCCATCACACAACTCCATCACACAACTCTATCACACAACCACCATCACACAACTCCATCACACAACCACCATCACACAACTCTATCACACAACTCCATCACACAACCACCATCACACAACCACCATCATACAACCACCATCACACAACCACCATCACACAACCACCATCACACAACTCCATCACACAACCACCATCACACAACTCTATCACACAACCACCATCACACACACCCCATCACACAACCACCATCACACAACCACCATCACACAACCACCATCACACACACTCCATCACACACACTCCATCACACAACCACCATCACACAACCACCATCACACAACCACCATCATACAACCACCATCACACAACCACCATCACACACACTCCATCACACACACTCCATCACACACACTCCATCACACAACCACCATCACACAACCACCATCACACAACCACCATCACACAACTCCATCACACAACCCCCATCACACTCCATCACACAACCACCATCACACACACTCCATCACACACACTCC